AAGAGGGAGAAGGAGAGGCTGAAAACGGCAACCGGGAACCGAAGCGCTACCGCCACAGTCACCGCTACTACTACCACAGCTAGCACCGACTCTGCTGCTGCCGCCGCCGCCGCTGCCGCTGCCGCCGCCGCCGCCCTGGGTGCCCCCCGCCACCGCCATGGGAACTCCGCATCAGTCGCTCCAACCGCCGCTTTGTCCGTGGGCCATGTCGTGATCCGTGGGCTCCGCCAGCGGGTTTTCTATCGGTGATCCCGACCGAGGCGAGGAGGAGGAGGAGGAGGAGGAAGAGGAAGAGGAGGGAGGGAGGGAGGGAAGGTGGTGGTGGTGGGGAAGATGTTCGCCTCGGTGGGCCCTCGGGGCGGCCCGCGCCCACCCGTCGCCCCGGCCATCCCGGAGCCGGACCTCAGCCATCTGACGGAGGACGAGAGGAAGATCATCATGGCTGTGCTGGCTCGGCAACGGGAGGAGGAGGCAAAGGAGGAGGCCATGTTAAAGTAAGGGAGGGAAAAGAGAAACATAGTGTGTGTGTGTGAGTGTGTGTGTGAGTGTGTGAGAAAGAGACTGGGCCTGGGCTATTTCCATTCTGAAGAAGTCCATCCACCTCCGCTCTCTCTTATGGATGAAATGTTTCAGCATCAGGACCTCTGCTCCACTCCACTGTATCTGACCATGCATGCATCCTGCAGGTCCCTCCACACACACAACTCACTCACTCACTCACTCACTCACTCACTCACTCACTCACTCACTCACTCACTCACTCACTCACTCACTCAGGCCCAAACAGGCTCCAGCTCTGTACCACAGCAACCATGCACAGGCCAGTGTAGGCTTTAGGTTCACATCCAGTTCACAGATTCTCACTGCTCCAATCAGAGGCCCAGTGAGTGTGCTGGGTCAGGTGTAACTCGCTCAGAGGGGAGGAAGGAGGGGATGGTTGGAGGATGAAGGGGTGTGTCACCATGCCCCATCATCATCATCAGCAGCAGCATCATCACACTCCACTCAGATGAAAAATACCAACTACTTTCTCATCTGCACTAACATCATCACTATAAGCTGCACCAGCGCCGGAGTCTGCTGGAGAGTGTTTGTGCTTTAGCTGAAGTATTTCATTGATAGATGCAATGGGAAATTGCAGAGGGCTCAGTGAAGCCTGGTATTGAGAATAGTAAAAGTAAAACCCTCCCTGTTGGATTTTATCTGTGCAGCATCCATCTCAACAGCTGCTGTTCTCAGCTCTGGGGTGCGGTTGAGCCTTTCCCAGCCTTATGCACTGTATGTAGGCCAGTGCTCTTGCAACAGACATCAGGCTGTTATAGAAACAGTAGGCCTGTAGCAGGGGAGGAAAAGGTGCCTGTGTAATCTTATTTTGAATCAAAGTGACTTATATTCACTGTGTGCATCCACCTCCTCCTCCTCCTGTATACCACCAGCACAAATGCATGGAGAAAAGTCTCCTCCAGATTTATTTGTCGCTGTGGTCGGTGCAGAAATGAACCCACGTCCACCTCCTTCTCCTCCAGGACCGGCATATGCATCAAGTTGAAACTGTGCCGTTGTCATGTTGCCTGCATGGTCTGCATGGAAGCTGCATGCATAGTTGTGCAGATAGATAGATAGAACGACCCACCTAAGCGAGGCGCTCCTCAAGCTTTACGTCCCTGTTCTATTTTAAGCCCTCTGTGCGGACTGATGGCCCAGCACTGGAACGGAAGATCGATTCATTGCATCTAAAGAAGGAAATGTCCAATATATAGCTCCGGCTCTAAGTGGCTATGCATCATTTTCAGTAATGTATTAAAGAGTCGTGGATTCAGTCATGTCACAGTGTTAACGGCTGCAAATAAGGCAGGCTGTCAGCACATACGTGTCCTAAACTATATTGGCTTCAGCACCGTTTCCTCTCACCACTGTTTGGATGGAGATTGCCAGAGCAAAGCAGTGTGTGTGTTTGTGCGTCCTTACGATTGGGTCTGCACTGAAAAGCTGCACTGGTTGACTAATACATGCATGGTGAGTGTACTAGGAGTAGGGTAGTGTGGGTTGTAATGCAGAGAGGCACTCCACTTATGAGCTGTTTAAGATACACTCACATCAGTTTTCTTGCTATTAAAGCGTATAGGATCACAGTATGCATGCCAGCCTCCCTGTAGGTATAGCAACAATGGTCTAATGGTAAATAAATATTGAGTAAACATTTAAACCCTTGCTACAATCCTGTGTGCCTTCATCAAACGCCTAAATACAGAAATAGAAAGCTATTGCGTGGCAACATGGCACAGCGATACAAGCATCTATGATCACTTATGAGTATTTCCTTAATGTAGTTTGAACATAAAAATTCACCTTTAAGACACAAGTAGTAAAACTGTGCATTTTATCTAGCAGGTAGCAATGAAGCAATGGAGGGATAAATGTAGCCTTACTCTCTGGAAATAATGAACGATGGATGTCCCTTAAACTGAACACTTGCATATGTCACTGCCCTCACCTTGAAGAGAGAAGACTGTAAAAGCTCAAGAATGTTTTGTGTCATGTGCTTGCATCTTTTTTTTCTGAATTAGGATCCAAAATGAGCTATAATGCAGTTCTGTCATTTATGTCATGTACAGTCATTCAGATAACAATATGCATAGTATGCATATTGTTATCTGAATGGGCCGATACAGAGTGGCAGAACAACACCAGTGCTGTCTTTTATCCTACAATTACACTGTCTTTTTATGTGAAACTGATTTTTGTCCAAGGCAGCATAAAGCTAAATGTTGGTCGAACACTAATAGTTACCTGTTGTGAAGGAATAAACTGATAATTAGTGGATAGATTTTATCAGTTCAGTATCGGTGGTAGTGCTAATACTCGGATTGGTTCGTACATGTTTATCACAAATGGTGCGACCTTTACGTTGCAGCGAACCATTTGGTAAAACACACTGACAGACATTTTCAAACAATTTTAAAATCTATTAGCAAACCAAACATAGTGATTATAAGACAACACAGTGGTAACTTTTCAAATCACACTCCACCTCAACTGATTTTCATTCCATGTAGAGAGGAATAAAAATCTGATATGTCAGGCAAACACATCCAGGAGTCGAAGCACTGGTGTGTTCATAAACATGACGTACACATCGTTAGCTGAAGAGCTTATAACTTGCAAACATACTTGTCTGTTCCTGTAATCTTTAATTTAAATGTCATACTCATGACATGCTAGCTATACCATGCTTTTTGCAGGGAATGCTATATCCTTTACCAATGTAACGCAAGGACGTCATGTCTACCTCGATCACCTCTGTGTAATCACTTAGCATCTCGTACAAAAGATATTCCCATTCCTAATGTGCCAAAAGTGTCTCATAATGCGCAAGCTGGGTGCCCACAGTATTGACGATAAAAAGACATGTCTTCTGTTTTCGACAGCGTGGGTGTTGGCGGGGAATTCTCTCTTGAGTTCCCTCTGTGATCAGACTGATCAGAGCCCACTGCTCATGTTTATGGATGAGATGGTTTTGAATCCCGCTGTGAATGTGTCAGTGGACATATTGGAAACATGTCATTGTTGTCTAAGGCCTGTCATGGACTCCTAAAGGTATCTCAAATGCTGCAATGAGAAATGGAATGAAGATTGTTGCTAGTTTCGTTTGCATTTCGAGCATTTGCGGCCTGTTCTGGTCCTAAAACAGAACTATGTTACTGGTCATGAGGAGTGAGAAAGTAATCTATGTGAGTAAACATCATGAAAATACAAAGTTTTATCCAGATAAGAAGTCAATTATTAACAATCAGTTCAGGGTAGCAGTTAGTCATAAAACAGTCTTGTGTGATAAAATAAACCCAAGACTGTCAGCAGTCTGGACTAAATCTTATATTTAGTTGTTTCAACTTACATAAACATCAAAAGAGAAAAGTTAAGACAAGTTTGACATACTTTGTAAAAGTCACAACAGAAGGCAGCACTGTTGCCTCGCAGCAAGAAGGTTGCCGGTTNAGTGGACAGACCTCCTCGTGCAGCTTAACGGGACCTAAAAAAAAAAAAAAAAACAACGCTCGAGGCTTCTGTAGCTGTTGAGATATTGAGGAATGAATATAAGACGACATATCTGACAATAGACCTCCACATACACACACTGAAAAATATAATAATACAATAAAAACATACACACGGCAGCTGACAGTTTGCAACTCACCGAAATATCACCCGGAGTCGTAAAGTGGAAACACGCAACACACTTCCGGGAAATGACAGTTCAAAATAAAATGCGTCTGTTGCTTTAAAAAAAAAAAAAAAAACTTTTTTTTTTTTTTTTTTTTTAAAGGCAGTAGATTTAGTGCTTGAATTTTATCCTGCTCTGTTGAAATAGAATGTTTGCAGAATAACATTATTTCTTTTGTGTGTTATTTTAAATATTCACTTTGCTTTTATAATGTCAAACGAGAAAATCCAACAAAAGGAATTAGTCAATGATATTCCTTTCAACAAAAATTTTAAGTACTGTTCACTTGAAGTAAAAGTGTAGTGCTAGAGTGCTTTCTGATTCTATTCATACAGCACAGGGGTTTTTCCCCCCTCAACTAAATTGGATTACCTTTTATTATGAAGTCATATTTGGTTAATTCACTTTATGTTTTGGGTTACTTGATGAAAACCATGCTGACCCAATTTACCTAAAGCACAGTTCACTGTAATTCCCAGCTCTCCCATGAAGCAAAGTTTTAGTCTGTGCAAATGTCCACAGCTGTCAAATGACATTAAACTTTATGTTTACTTAAGACAAAAATACTGCGCTGACTTTAAAAAAATAGCTACAGCTTATTATTTTTAAATAATTAAATGAACATTGGTGAACGCTGCATAAAAATATATGTGCTAAAAAACACAATATTGTATGATTAAGTTCTCTTGAACTGAATTCTCAAGTCAGGTGAGGGTGATGGGATGCAGCTGGTTCGTGGTCGGTGTACTCTTCATGTTACTGCACTGGACTAAAGTTAAAGTTTTGTGTGTAAGCTGTTTCCCGTAACTTGTTAAGGAGAGCAAGTATTTTTGGATCCACAGTGAAAGTTAGTCATTGTGCAAGCAACATGCTTGAGTGGAGTAATCAGGAAACATGTTGGAAAGTGTCATGAACATTTCAATTTGTTTTCTCTTGCTGGTGTTGCTGGGAGCAAGTTGTTTTGTGCCTCCTTGAATGGTGTGATACCAGAAAGAAAGTTCTTGGCAAAGAGATGACTAGTTGGGTGTGTAAACTATTTGAAATTGCTGCCTTGAACTGAAGCCACCTTTGGGCTGGGCCAGAAACACACAACTGTCTATGGGCCAGAGCTGTGGATCGAGTCAAGCAAGTATGTGACCTCAGTAATGTTCTAGAACTGCTTTAGGGCTGGGCTTTGCCCTTGTGCCCATTCTCTCAACATGCAGGCTCCAGACTTGCAACAACTTGCGCTACATTTCTT